GAAGAAAAGGTAAGTCCTTTTGTGCTTAAAAATAAGAATTAAGAATGAGTCTATCTTTTGCCAACCATGTGGGTTATTTAGGGAGGCGAGAGGGGGTAGAGTGAAAAGGGGAAAGTGTTCCTGTCCCCTGATAACCGAGCCCAAAGCAGTAACAAGAGTATAAGAGCAATTTTTCAAATGATCCTAAAAGGCTTAGTTGAAAAATGCCTAACAAGCAGAATTTGAGCTTTTGTAATGAGTTTATCCAGAGCATGGTACAGCTCCTGGCTGTCAGAAATGGTTATAAAAATGGTAGTGATTATTCTTAGTAACACCCACTAGTCCATTTTGTTACAAACATGTACCCAGTGGAATGATCCACTGAGACTTACAGTGCCTATGGAAAGAAAATATATATTTTGAGTAATAAGCTCAAAAGAGCAGGCTATATACCAGAAGAACCAAAAAACATTAATATTTAAGGGCCTCCACCAGAAGCTGGGCACTGAGCTGGATCTCACATATGTGACTCATTTTAATGAGAACCCAAAAGACAAAATTTTCTAGAAAGTCTTCTAAGCCCAAGTTTGGGCAGCAAGATAATGTTGGAGCAAAAATTCCAGAACTTGGGGACCAACTACTCTCGTCAAAAACGCCACACAGGATCTGAGCATGTAATCCTGCATTCTGTCCCGGCACTGACCAATGTGGATGAGTGACTGTGAAACTAACTGGGGTAATGATTAAATACCTAGAAATATTTGGGAGAAAATCATGCCCAACAGAGGGAGAAACAATCAAATTAGATACAATCTGTAAAAGTACTTTGACATCTGGCACTTAAAAGTAAATTATTACTGAAAATAAGCCATGAATATTTATTGGGTTGTGAGGTTGTTATCACCATTCTCTGCCTTGTGTGCCCTGGATTTGTGTGGATAACTGGAACCAGAGCCTACGGAGTCCTTGTTCAGTGCTCCTTTTCACTGCAATATTCTGCCTTACAATTCACGTGACAGACCAATTAGAGAGCATAGTCAGCCAATTTAGGAAAGAATGGGTTGATTCTTCAAATAAGAATCTTGATCCATACCGTAAAATGAATTGGGTTCAAATTACATAAACACAAAGATATTCCCTTCTGAGAAATTGGATATAATGAGAGAAAATGCTCACATTTGGCTTATAAACCTTGTGACGATGGTTTAGCAAGTATCTTGCCAAACAATTTAGCCCACAGAGTTCTCTAATATAAGACTGAGAACTGCTGCATTCCTTGGCTATTTTTTCTCATGCAGCATTATGTTAATCAATTCATATTACATATGAAATACATTGACTTCAAATAGAGACTCTCTTTAATTTGTTATATCCAACTTAATGATTATGAGGCAATTCTGTAATTATGCTACCAAAGCAGAATGTTTCAAATTTTCTGACAATGACTATTCATTCCCTCATCCTAAAAAATATTTAATGAGATACATACCAAGTAATTTCTAGGCATTGAGGATGAGTGGGAAGGTAAAATAGTGTTTTTCATACTTTCTGGAAACTTCCTTTGTCGTTAGAGAGACAAAAGACAAGTATGTTATAATTTCAGATATATTAAGGTCCTGAAGAAAAAAAGTATAATAATAGAATAAGAAGGGGTCCTTAGTTGGTAAAATGAGTGAGGGAATTAATGACAGCACCTTTGGGGACATCAGCTTTTAATACGAGCCTGCCTAGAGGCTGAACAGAGCTGGATGAGTAATGTTTCAAGAGATGGAAATAGGTCAAGGATAAAAGCAGGAGTCTTTGGGTTAAGAAGAAGCTAAGAAGAACACAAGAGGTATGTGTTTAGCTGACACAGTGTGCTCATATTGGTCAACAAGTAAGAATTGCCATGGATATGAAAGATGGAAGCTGATGATTGAGAAAGACGATTTTAGCTTCTGTATAGAAAATAGGTTGTAAGGGGATCAATGAAAGCTTGGGTGACAAACACACACCCACACAGATGGATCCTAAAAAGGACTCTCATATGAAGAAATTATGGTGACATTGTGATGAAGCTATGGAGGATGTTTTGGACAGGCCAGTGAGGCCTATGGACAAGCTTTAGATAAGACTCAGTGTTTTTCTTTATTTTATGCTTTAAGAATCTCCACAATACTGTTGATGATGAATCCCATGAACACTTGAAGTAAGAATTAGGTTAGGGTATGATACATATTTTGGAAAGAAATGTTTTGGTAAGTATTTGAATAGGGTGTTGTATATTGTCTGTAGCAATTTTCATAAAATATTATTGATCATGATAAACTACATTTGGAGTGAGCCTGGATAATGTTTTCTGCTTGGCTATAAAGCCCTATTTTTGAGGAGAAAGATAACAGTTGCCAGGGTGACATGACTTTCACAAGTTCTCCTCATACTTCATCTTCCTCCTCTGCTCCACCCATCACTCTTAGCTTCCAGTGTTTAAGTCCATGAGAAATTAGCTTCCCTACCATGTCTGATAAATGTATACTCCCTTAGTGGAGATGTTAACCCTGACCATAAATAATAACTTTTCATAAATATTAATGAATGGGAATTCCAAGCTAATGACAAGACTGGAGGCTTTCACTATCTTTTATAGTAGCTCAGATGCACATTGGTAAGAAAAATGTATTTTCCCTGAAGAGGAAGTTTAATGAAAACTTACTCTTTAGACATTCCATGAGATGGAACCCATTCCCAACACTGCTTGGGTGACCATGAACCATAGACTAGAAAGCCCAGAGACCTAGGGTAAAACCAAATACTACTGGTCTTAAAAAAAATAATGATAAAATGATTCCTAACGATATTCTGCTATATTTACAGTACCTTATTCAATGGTCATCAGAGAAGCTTCCTCTTGCAGCAGATGGGAACAAATATAGAGATTCACAGTCAAGAATTATGAAGAGAAAGGGAGAGACCTTGGAATACTCAGGTCTAATCAGGCGGTCTTCATCAGATGCTCCCCCCTCAGAGCTTAGGAAACCTTTGCAGAAGAGGAAGCAAGAAATGTGTAAGAGCCAGAGGGGATGGAGGACACCAGCATAGCAAAGCCCTCTAAATCAACAATATTAAAGCTAATATGAACTCACAGAGACTGAAGCAGCCAGCACAGAGCCTGTACTGTTCTACACCATGCCCTTTGCATATTCACTATAGCTCTCAGTTTAGCATTTTTATGAGACTCCTGAGTGTGGAATGGGTTCGTCTCTGACTTGCATGCCTTTTCCTGGGCTATTTTCCTTCTGTTGGTTTGCATTGTCCAACTTCGATTGGACTTGTTTTTAATGTTATTATATATTATTTTGTTAGGTTTATTTTATTATATTTTATTTTGTTGATGCCAATAAAAGTGGACAAGGTAACTTCATTCCAATAACAATTACAAAAATAGTTAACTGAAAATACAACACAAATTAGCTTTTTAATGTAAATGATATTTCTAGTTTTCCCATGTTAACTCAAAGGTTTGGTGATATGTGATTAAAGTAACTTTTTTTAAAGAAGAAATGAAGATAGAAATAACATACACTTCTTTTTGTTTTCACTGGAAATATATGAAACATTAGCTTCTAAGAATACTTTTGTCACAAAGATAAATAATGCTGAGGTATATGGAAGAGTGGATGACTTCTGAATCAAGGGTCATTTTTGTTAACAGTGTGGGATAGACTAGACATCAAGTAACTCTGAAGACCCAATGAACTACTGGACCAAGTATTCTGTGAGTGAGTAAAAATACTGTTATGTTTATACATGGCCTTTAATATTTTAAAGGGCAATAAATAACCTAGGGTAAGCCTTGATTGCCTTATTTGATCCTGAAAACACTAATAGAAACTAAGATTGCCTTGAAGCTTCAGGTCCACATTTTATGTCTAATTATTTCTCCAAATAGATGGCCAGAACATGAGGATATAGTTCAAAATACAATGTGAGATTAAAAAAAATATTTAAAGTTGATTTCCTATATTTTGTACTACTAATAAGATGACCCAATTCATCAATTCTTAATGATTTTCTTTAATAAAAACAATTAAATTACAGAGTGAATCTATCTTGATGCTATTTATTTTTTCAGTCTAATTTGCATTAGAGGCTGCTCTGTCAAAACAAAGTAGTTTACTTACAGGTTGTTGAATGATTTGGTAGTTTTATGTTACAGTAAGTGGTAAAGTTTCTGCAAAGCATTTTGAGTCTCCTTTTGAAATAATATATATATATATATGTATATATATATATATGCAGATATGTATGTCTAATTAATACTTTAATTGCAGTTATTCCTCATTAATTCATGATGTATTAATCTGCAATATTTGTTGGCTAAAACTCTACCAACAGGAATTTGTGTAACACACACACACACACACACACACACACACACATACACATCTTTTATTAGAGAATAAATTGTTAAAGTAGGCAAAATATTTCAAACAATTGCACTGGCCTCCAGGGAACATTGTTGATTCTTCCACAAAAATTGTGTTATTGAAACAGCAACTGAATCTTTTCTTTTTTCCAGAATGAAAATAATCTTGCTGTTGTTGTGAAACTTATATTAGGAAAAACAAGATATGAATACTGTTAGGTATATACATTACATTTTTAAATGAGCTCCATAAACATAATTCTTTAAACAAGATAGAAATATACATATAACAAAATTGAACTTATATTTATATCAATAAACCAAAAACCATACCAATGTAAAGTATTTTGAGATTAAGTTTTGTTTTAATTAAAGCAGATTTAACAATCTACCTTTTTTGTCATTTCTATATCATAGCCATAGTTTTTATTTAGGAAGAAATTGACTATGACCATTAGCCATTTATAACCAACCCCTTTTAATTGAACATAAACATTTATACACAATATTTTTGGAATTTGGGTGTTTCTTATAATACTTCTTGCTGATTATGGGTGCTATTAATCTTATGGGGAATCCTGGGAAAATTTAGACTGTAGTAGTCTGTGAGGCTGAATAAAACTATGGACACGTCACAAATTGTGATGTCATCCTTGTGCAGATGTCATGCTAATGTTCTCTATTTTGTTTAATTTTCTCAAATACAGATAGACTAAATTTTATAACTATAATTCTTGCTTGATGCCTGTCCTGTTTTGATATGTAATTTTATAATGTTAAAGTTAAAACCTTCCTTTTTAATTAGAAAGAAAATGGGAGAGCATGTGGTATGTCCTTCTTTATGCTGTGAATATGTTTTATTACATTGATTAATAAAGAAACTGCTTTGGCTAATAGCCAGGCAGAATATAGCCAAGCCAGAAATCCAAACGGAGATACAAGGAAAAAGAAGGTGGGGGGTAGTTCTGAGAACATCATGTAGCCACTGGAAGAGTAAAATAGCAGGGTATTACTAGTAAGCCACAGGCATATGACAATACACAGATTAATAGAAATGGGTTAATTTAAGTTATAATAGCTAGTTAGTAAAAGCCAGCATCATTGGCCAAACAATAATGATTAATACTAAGCCTCAAAGTAATTATTTTATAAGTGGCTGAATGACTGAGGAGACACATAAAAGGTTCCAGCTATATATTATGGCATTTAAAAATAATAGACAAAAATAATTTATGGTCTAGGCAAATGAGGATGATGAGAATGATAAAAAATGAAGCAACTTCAAAGATTTCTGAAGACACTAAAGCATACACAGTTAATTTTGAGGGGACAGAAGATATCAATAATAACTCTTGTACTTCTGGCTTTGGCAACTGCATAGATTCTGTTATGTTTCTTCTAGAGAAATTCTCAGAAGTATAAGTGATTTGATGTGGGAGGTGATAGAAAACTATGGATTTAGCTTTGGCAACGTGGTATCTGTATAGTGGAAAATACTCAGCAAGCATTTCAATATGTTCATGTATAACTCAGAAGAAATATCTGAGCTGAAGAGAAGAGATGGGGAAGTCAATAGGACATGAAGGTCAATCAAGTGCACAATAGTGAAATGCAACTTTCAGGACAAGTGGCACTAAAAATGGAGATGGAAGAAGTGCAATCCTACTTCACCTCTATACAAATATTCAAAACACATGTGAGAAAAGAAAAAAGAGCAAAATAGATGAACAAGGCAGGAATTGGGCAAGAGAAGAAGAAAGTGTAAGAGAAAGGAGAAAGAGGGGGAGAATAAAGAGTACGAGGATGAAAGAAAACGAGTGAAGAGGAGGAAGAGGAGGATTTAGGGAGAGAGGGAACGGATGGAGGGACAGAGTGAGGGGAAAGAAGAAGTGAGTGAAGAAGAAAAGGAGGAGGAAGGAGGAGAAGGACTAGTAAGAGGGAGGGGAGGAGGAAATCTATAAAGTATGAATTTATTTTTAAAAAGAATGAATGTTCTAAATAAATCAAAAAGAAAAGTATTTGAAATTGCTCACTGTTTTGTTTGTTTTTGTTGTAAGGTAATAAACCTTAAAAATCTGATGTGAAAGCTGGTGAGATCTTATGGTGAACAATATTCTATCTGCTATAAATACTTGACTTTGGTCCCATAGTAACCTGAGTCACTTAGTAAGAGTGTAGTCCCCCTAGGATGTTAAATACTCTCTAGGACTTACAGAGTTAGGAAATTACTCAGCAAATTATTCTTGTAATGTGCTTCCACTGTGGAAATTTCCAGGACTGTTGAGAATGGCCATTTCCCTGACAGGAAAAGGAAAGGGAAAAGGGAAAGAATTAGATGCCAACAGAGCCAGTCACTTGGGTGTTTGTTGAAGCTAGAGTGGCCAGAAGACACCCAGGGAGGAAGCATTAATAGCATTGGAGGAAGGAAGGAAATGACATGATCCAGAACATAGCACAGATGTGACAGCCAGGAGATGGAAGTGGGTGTGTGCAACCATGTGAGAAAGGGCAGGGAAGAGAAGGCCAGACTGCCAGGAAAGAAAAGTTAGGTCTTGATGTGACCATTTAAATAAATTAAAAGACAACAGTACAGTAGAATATGGTGCTTAAAATTTCTGCATGTATCATTTGTGAGTGATTATAGTTCATGAATACATCGATGCAAAATTTGAAAATGCTATGTTCATAAGTAAACAGTAACAATTAATTTGAGCAGACAGTTTAACAAAACAGGAGTTCACATTGGATGCTTTTGCTAAGTGGTCATTGTTCCCCAATGGCTAGTATCTTGATTTTGTTGTTGTTGTTGTTCTCTGTTCTACTAACACCAAGGAGTATTCTTCATAGTTTGTGTGTGTGAGTGCCTCTCTCTCTCTCTCTCTCTCTCTCTCTCTCTCTCTCTGTGTGTGTGTGTGTGTGTGTGTGAATTTTCTCTAATAGAATATAAACAAAGAAAAGAAAGGAGAGGGAGATATACAGTCTAGAGTCTGTATGTATTTTAAATGAAGGGCCTATAGGCATTTTTAGTCTTCCTCCCATCATGTGTACGCAGACTGATCAGATTGGAGAAAATGTTCAGCATCATGCAATTGAGAATAACAGACTGGGAAGAACTAGAAGAAAAAAGTAAGAATTCTTTTTAGTATCAAGAGATTCATTCAGGACAAACTGTCATAAGCACTGAATGACAGGAAGCAAGATATTAAATTAGGATATAGAAATTCATAAAATGGTATATAGAAATTCATAGTATATTGATACATAAACATTACTCATAAGATCCAGCTATCTCTTCAGGTCAACTCTGAGTTCCTGTTGGCAAGATCCTTGACCCACAAATCAGGGCCTCTGCTAAAGAAAGAGGCCTCAGCTAGAGAGTGCCAGTTTCCAGTGAGATCAGACTATTCCTGCAGAAACTTCCCAAGTTTCAGCTCAGCCTTTGTCCTCTTCCACCAGCCATTGGCTACAGCCATTGACTAGTGGCATCTTCTACTCAATCCTCAGCCCTGACCCCATCCCTGGGTCCCTGTCTGCGGAGAGACCTCCTATAGAGCTTGGACCACCCAGAACTACAGATATTGAATCTCTGACCCACATAAGCCCACCGGGGAAGTACCATAGACAGAGGTGGAGACCCCACCAACAACGACTGGAAGAAGCTATGGGAAGACAGCAATACAAGAAAACACCTAACAACAGAAAGACAAGCATGACACCAACAGAATCTAGGGAATATATACCTACTAGAACAGAACACAACAACAAAGTAGAGGAAGGAGAAGGGAACGACTTAAAAATTACCATCATAAAAATGATAGAGGCCCTCAAAGAAGATGTGAGAAAATCCCTTAAAGAAATGGAGGAAAAAACAAACAAAAATGTGGAAGAAATGAACAAATTCCTTATGGAAAGTAAAGAAAGTACAGAAAGCCAAGAAAAAACAATGAAGCAGGTGAAGGAAACAGTTCAAGACTTGAAAACTGAAATAGAATAAAGAAAACACAAACAGAGGGAATGCTGGAAAGAGAAAAGCTGGGCAAAAAAATCAGGAACTACAGACGCAAGCATAAGCAACAGAATTCAAGAGATGGAAGAGAGAATCTCAGGCACAAAAAATAAACTAGAAGAAATAGATTCATCGACCAAAGAATATCATAAATCCAACAAATCCTTAACACAAAACATCCAGGAAATGTGGGACACCATGAAAAGGCCAAACCTAAGAATAATAGGCATAGAGGAAGCTGAGGAAGCCCAGCTCAAAGGTGCCGAAAACATATTCAACAAAATCATCGAGGAAAACTTTCCAAATCTGAAGAAGGACATGCCCATGAAAGTACAAGAAGCATACCGAACCCCAAATAGGCTGGACCAAAGAAAAAAGACCCCTTGTCATATAATACTCAAAACACCTAGCATACAGAATAAAGAAAGAATATTAAAGCAGTGAAAGAAAAAGGACAAGTAACATATAAAGGCAGACCTATCAAAATTACACCTGACTTCTCCATGGAAACCCTCAAGGCCAGAAGGTCCTGGATAGATGTTCTACAAGTACTAAGAGTCCAGAGATGCCAGCCTAGGCTACTATATCCAGCAAAACTCTCAATCACTATAAATGGAGAAAGCAAGATATTTAATGACAAAACCAGATTTTCCCAATATGTATCTACAAATCGAGTCCTATAGAAAGTATTGGAAGGAAAACTCCAACCCAAGAAAAGTAACTACACCCACAAAAATGTAGGCAACAGATAATCCAACTACACCAGAAACCAAGGGAAAAGCAGAACTAATATATTCACAATACCACTGCCAAAAACAAACCTAAAACAAACAAGCATCAACAATCAATGGTCCTTACTCTCCCTCAACATTAGTGGTCTTAACTCACCTATAAAAAGACACAGGCTAACAGAATGTATACGAAGACAGAATTCATCCTTCTGCTGCATACAAAAAACACATCTAAGCTTCAAAGATAGACATTACCTCAGGGTAAAGGGTTCGGAAAAGATTTTTCAATAAAATGGAACCAAGAAGCAAGCAGGCATGGCTATCCCAATATCTAACAAGTTAGACTTCAAACCAAAATTAATCAAAAGAGATGAAGACGGTCAGTTCTGAACATCTATGCCCCTAATACAAAGGCACCCACATTCGTAAAAGAAATGCTACTAAAACTCAAAGCTCATATAAAACCTCATACACTTATAGTGGGAGACTTCAATACACCACTCTCAACACTAGACAGGACCACAAATCAGAAACTCAACAAAGAAACAAAAGAACTAACATAAGTTATGTCTCAACTGGTGTTAACAGACATCTGTAGAACATTCCATCCAAAGACAAAAGAATACACCTTCTTCTCTGCTCCACATGGAACTTTCTCTAAAATCGACCACAAGCTAGGTGGCATAACAAACCTCAACAAGATATAAGAGAATAAGAATAGTCCCCTGTATCATATCAGACCACCATGCTTTAAAATTGGAATTCAACAACACAAATAGCAGAAAACCTGCAAACTCATGGAAACTGAACAATGTGCAATTGCACCACTCCTGGGTCAAAGAAGAAATAAAGAAAGAAATTAAGGACTTTCTAATATTCAACAAGAATGAGGACACAACATACCTGAACTTATGGGACACCTTGAAATCAGTGCTGTGAGGGAAGTTCATTACACTAAGATCCCATATGAAGAAATCAGAGGATAG